AACCAGAAGGTACAAAGCCACCTCTCAAGACACTTTAACAGAATAACAGAGCTGGAAGGGACCTTGGTGGTCTACTAGTCCAATCCCCTGCACAAGCAGGAAACCCTATACCATTTCAGACAAATGGTTGTCCAATCTCTTCTTGAGAACCCCCAGTGTTGAAGCACCCACAACTTCTGGAGGCAAATTGTCCCACTGATCAAATGTTCTAACAGTCAGGAAATTCCTCCTTAGTTCTAGGATGGATTTCTCCTTGATGAATTTCCATCCATTCCTTCTTGCCCTGCCTCTGATGCTTTGGAGATTTGGTCCTTTCCAAATCCATGATTCTTATACATAGAGCACAGCTCAGGAATATCAGCATTGATCTAGTAGAATGATGTCTGAGTAATATAGAAGGTAACAACCTGCTGTCTCTAACTTTGGGGCTACTAACGCTTTTCCTTTTCGCTGCACGAAGGGAGAGAAGTTGTAAAACAGGAAGAAAGTTCCGGAATTATAGGCCTGCCGACAAGCATCATCATCTTCTTTCAGCTTGAACATGTATCTGTAATTAGGAAAAGATTAGAAGGAGCACCTTGTGAATAGATGAAAGAATAATCTTCCCTGCATTCATTCAGCTTTGCTACATGAAACTATTTAATCCTGTTAATGTCTGTTCAAAACAATACTCGTTTCTTACAGTTGCTGTCTATGGCTGCCAAGTCATCAGAGCAAGCTTTCCTTGCTGTTCTTTGTATTCTCTTAGCATCTGAGCAGCAACTTTCTAGTTTGCAAAGAAAATCATGGCAAAGCTGTCTTGGCTTCAAGACAGAGAGAAGAATCCTAGGGACTTTGTGAGAAGATGAGGCAGGACTATCCACCCACAGCTCGCGAAGTAATACTGCAAACTATCTTTTGTAGTGTTTTTCTGGTGCAGCAGCTGAAGTACATGGGACTCTCGCTGAAGGCTATTCAGAAGCTCCAGTTGGTCCAGAATGCAGTGGTGTGGGTCATTATGCCATCTGCAAGTTACACTGGTTCTCTCTAGGTTCTGGGCACAATGCAAGGTGCTGGATCCATTTTAAAGCTCTACAGGCCACAGATCCAGGTTACCTGAGAGACTGCCTCTCTCCTAAGAACATTTTCTCCCTCTACAACAGGGGTGTCAAACTCAAGGCCTGGGGGCTGGATCCAGCCTTCAGGGTGCTTAGATCTGGCCCATGGGGCCTCTCTAGAAACAGCGAAGGACCAGCCCACGGTGCCTCTGCCAGCAAAAACAAAGCTCAGGAAGCCACGGGTGGCCCTCCTGAGCTCCGTTTTCACCTACAAAGGGTTGCAAGAAGCCTTTATAGCTGAAAACAGAGCTCGAGAGCCCGTTTTCGCTTGACAAGAGCGCTCAGATCACCACAGGCACCCACGATACGAGTGACGTTGAGCTGGCCACACCCCACCCCAGCTTCCCAAGGTCAAACACAACCCTGATGCGGCCCTCAATGAAATCGAGTGACACTCCTGCTCTACACATTCCCACAGGGAAAGCACGCTCCAGGTTCTCCTTTAAATATTGTGACCATATGAACACTAGGAAGTGTGCCTGTAGGAATAGTCTCCACCCCTATACAGGTAGTCCCTCAACTTACAACCACAATTGAGCCCAGAATTTATGCTGCTAAGGGAGAAATTTGTTAAGTGAATTTTGCCATTTTATGACTTTTCTTGTCACGCTTCTTAAGTGAATCTCGGCAGTTGTTAAATTAGTAACACGGCTGTTAAGTGAATCTGTCTTCCCCATTGAGTTTGCTTCTCAGAAGGTCGTAAAAGGGGATCACATGACTCCAGGGACACTGTAGCTGTCATACGTATGAACCAGCTGCCAAGGATCCAAATATAAATCACGTGACCGTGGGGATACTAAAATAGTCGTGTGGAAAATAGTCATGTCACTTTTTTCAGTGCCGTTGTAACTTTGAACAGTCACTAAATTAACTATTGTAAGTCGAAGGCTACCTGTATATGATAAGCCCCAACTCTGAAAACTTTAAAAATTCCATCAAGATGTGGCTTTCTCCCCCCAACATTTGGGTCCAAATTAAGTGTCCTTTTGTTGACTAATTATCACATTTGCTCATCGTTTTACATATTGTTCCTTTTTAATGCTATATAGAGGGCAGGAAGTGTTGGTTACGGCTTATTTCAGCTGTACATCAGCCAAAGTCACATCAGGCACCTCTATAAATCCACCTCTATGATAACCATGCTTTGCTACGAAACGATGTGGTCGGGCTTAATTTTTTGGGAGGAAGATAAGGAAAATAAAATTCTGCCACTGCCTACCAGTATCCATCAGTATTCATCTAGTGTCCTGCCAGTGTGTGAGGGAGTTGAGGGCTGTTTGGAAACTGAAATAGTATTCGTTGTGTAAGCAAGGAGACATCAAGGAACCTGAGTGTGGCTTAGCTCAACTGCAGTTAGAACAGATTTCTTTTCAGGTGGGGAGGAGAGTTGAGGGCTGTTTGGAAACTGAAACAGTATTTGCTGGGTGAGCAAGGAGACAGCAAGAAGCCTGGGCTTGGCTTAACAGAGGGAAGAGACTTCTTTTCAGGTAGGGAGGGGGAGCAGAACTCCTTAGCATCAGAGCATGTTAATAACAATATAGGATATACTAATACTCTGATGGTCATTTCAAAAAATCCTGTGTTAGCGAGCACCTAGAAGTCAAGAGGAAACATACGTGCCAAATTTCAAGTTTGTAGGCTTTACGGTTCTGGAGATTTTGTGATGATGCATGAGTGATATTTCGCTTTGGTATATGTAGATTCCACAATGGATGTCCCTCTCATTGTCATCATCACCAACTAAGTATATCTGGAGAAATGAAGGCTGCTGCTGAGGTCCCGCCATGATACTCCCTATCCTGTGGTAGACCTGCCCCTGTACTTTGAATGTTGGCATGAAATTTCCCTCCTTCACCTGTCTGGTTCCAAAAGACGTCATTTGGAAGCATCCATTGTACTTCCAGACAGCAGAAAGTGGTTTGGCATTGGATGCTGGTGGGTGAGAAGGCTGTGTAAGGGTTCAGGGTAGAGCTGAAGGGGAGGGAGGTGGACTTTATCGCCACAGCAGCACATCCCGGGACTCTCATCCTGCCACTTTAAAGCATGGCACCAGGCACAAGCAACCGAGGTCTGAGATCAACAACCTTTTCTCTGGAATAATGAATCTGAGGTTCATATTGAAAACCAAATACTTATTAGTCCAAGGCATTGATCTCATTTGTGACTGATTAATGTAGGGGCTATTAGATGTATAGTTTTTTTTTTTTACAGCCTCTCTACTGACTTGGGGATGAGTTTGACGATACTTGTGTGTAGTTTCCGTTACTTGTGTTTTCCTAATAGCATCTGTAAATTTTTTTCTGCGTTTTTTGCCTCTTTTCCCTTTAACTGGTATTACAGTAGAAGGAACAGATTCATTTGAACTGAGGGGGAAAATAAGGGGGAAAATTCTGCTTCTGCCTACCAGCATCCATTGGTATTCATCTGGCTAGCACCCTGTCAGTGTGTGAGAGAATTGAGGGGTGTTTGAAAACTTTGATAAAAATTTGAAAAATTTGCTGTGTGAGCAAGAAGGAAACAGGAAGGCGCCCGGGCATGGCTTAGTTCAACAGTTCTGTAGTAAAAGTGCTTGCTGCTGTGAAAGTAAAACTGGAACTCCTCTTCTCCGCTTGTGTTTTGCATCTGGGACAAATTTCTTTAACAGATGAGGAGGGGGAGTAGAACTCCTTAGTATCAGAGGGCTGTTTGGAAAGTCAAACAGTATTTGCTGTGTGAGCAAGGAGGAGACAGCAAGGAGCCTGGGTGTGGCTCAGCTCAACTGTTCTGTAATAAAGCTGGTTGCTGCTGTGAAACTGAAACTGAAACTCCTCTGCTTGTGTTTTGCATTTAAGAGATTTCTTTTCAGGTGGGGGAGGGGGAGTAGAACCCTTAGCATCAGAGCCTGTTAATAATATAGGAAATACTAATGCTCTGATGGTCATTTTGAAAAATCCTTTCTTAGGAAACACCTAGAAGCTAAGAGAAAGAACACATGCCAAATTTCAAGTTTGTAGGCTTTACGGTTCTAGAGATTTTCTGGTGATGCATAACTGCTTTTTCATTTTTATTTTATATAGTTAAAAAATAATTAAACTTCCATCTTGCAAAGAGCTGCACAGTATTGTGGAGACACAAGAGGGCAGCATGGATTATAAATTGGCAAGAGTTCCTGCACATGGAAAGAAACTATTCAATAGGGCTCTATCTTCTGTAAATAAATGCAGGACAACCCAAAGTATTTGACCAAATCTACTGCTATATTCACAAATTTTGTAAAACTTCACTATAATGTTCGATAATTCTTAATTTTTCATTAGCTAATTTATTTTAAGAAGATTTGATAGAACCAGCCTATGCCTTAGACTCCCCATGGGCTAATTACATACATACCTCATTCTCCCCACATAAGTTGAATAAATCCTACAATATAGAGCTGAAGTTCTTCTATATCCCACTTGACATGCCAAAGCTATCACCATCCTGCATGCCATAACTGGAAAAAAAAACAGAGTTATAAAAATAGTGGTAAATTACCAGTTTCCTAACCAGATTATGGAAGGAACAAGCCATCTTATTCATTCATAAGGGCAGGCGAGGCTGCAGGAGAGAGAAATGATCTATCACATACCAAAGCTAGCAGTTACTCAGACATAGCTCAAACTTATTATATATTTTATCTTTCACTATTGTTTAGATTTTAGGCTTTTTCATTATTATTACTGGCTCACCTAAGAAGCCCTTAATGACTGAAATATGAAAACAACCCTAAATAACTAGAAGCCTTTTGAATATTCTCCCTCTACTCGAACTTGCTATCAGTAGTAGTATCTATGAACAGCTGCAACTGTTCTAGCTCTCAAACGGCAAGTGGCATTGCGTTTCTTTACAACAAAAATCCTCATCTCACCCAAACTATGAGACTACCAGAATAAAATGGTAAATGCAATGCAGTATCTTCGTGCACGTCTTTAGGGTTGCAAAGTAAACAGTATCTTTAAAAAGAAACCGTGTTAACGTTTTTCAGGTTGTTTTTTTTAAAATGAAACTAAGGGATTCTAGAACAAGCTATGGATATAAACCAAAGTCCGGCGACGGTCGGGAAAGGGGGGGGGGAGCAGAAGGGAATCTTTAATCCGAAAGTAAAGGGTATTAAAACTTCTCGGTCACCCTCTAACCTTTTAATCCGGGAAATGCTGAAAAGCGTGGCTCTGCTTTCAAAGACAGCAAAACACCGAGACGCACAAATAAATATAGAGAGCTGAAAAGATGTGACCATTCACTGGACGTAGTGATTTCAATATCAACGATAGTCAAACGCACCCCTCCCACTTACTAGCCTTGCAGCTCCCAACAATTCCCGCCAGCAGGAAGTATTGCATTGCAGTTCCGCCACGAAGGAGTAAGCTTTGCTACCGCAAACTACGTTGACCGTAATGCCTCGCCTTGGTACTCCCAAGACATGTGAGCGTATGTTGCGTTTTACATGCTGGAGGTACTAGAAGTTGCAAATTGTTTAAAGCGCCCTGCTGATTTTTTTTTCCTTTAACGATAGGATTAAAACAGCAAAGGAGTTGCTAAAAATTGTAAGATTAACGCTGCAAATGCTGAATAATTTTTGCCCAAGATAAAATGCAAAAACAAAAAAAACAAAACCAGCAAACAAACCAAAACGCTGGTTCTGTTAAACCAGTTTAAAAATAGGCTGCTCAAGAATATAAAAGGAAAGTGAGCTAGCTCCAAACTGGGATCGATTCTGATAATAGATCTCCGTTTAGCTCCAGGGCTACTCAACTGTAAAAGACGCTCCTCATGTTTCTAAGATAAATGGAAAAACTGTAGTTTTACCCGAGGATGAATCGCCAGAGAGACGGTTGCTGGCAGTTAATGTAGACCTGGGTTGTTTTTTTTCATTTTTGCAGCTGGAAATTATATCAACTCCCAGAATTCCCTAGCCAGCCCTGACAGTAGACGGGATAGCTAACTACATACAAAACAGCTTGTCAATTCTCCATGCTAGAATATTCTCCTGATAAACCTTTTTAATCAACGTTAGGTACTAGGCTAATTTAAGAGGAAAGTATACAGGCGTAGAACAGAATGGAACAGTATCCTGTAATTTCAAATGTAATGGTCATTTTAAAAAAAAGTATTGTTAGTAATAACATTAAAAGAAAAAAAGGTTCCTAGCATTTTCTGTTATAAACAACTCCAAACATTTTAATCCTGTTGCTCAAAAGATTTCTTTCTCCTTTTAAAAAGAATAAAACCAAACTCCAATTTAAATATAGGCAGACAATACGTTCAATAATCCATAGCTGCAAATTTGTTTTAGGTTTCTTCTAGTGTTGTCCTGTAATTTTTTTAGCTAATCCTTAGCCCCAGGTTTGTAATTATTCATATTTTGATAGGTTCCAAATACCAAAAGAACATGTACTACACATATTGTGGCAATTTATATATTTCATTGACAAAGAACATATATATCGTTAGCATGCAGCAAATCATACATGTTACATATGATTAACAAAAACAAAGTTACATAGTTTCAAGTCTAACAATGTCATCCCAAATCTGTGACAATAACAGGACAAGACCAAACCATAATATGACTTAGGGTCCTTGGCACTCTCTGAGCTTGGCTGTTTTCTTGCAGATGTTTCACTACCCAACTAGGTAACATCGTCAGTGCTAAAATAGTTTCCTTACAAATAATGTGAATTTGGAAGATTTATGAAATAGAATGTATAGCCACAGAAACAAGAGCACCCAAGAAATATAGTCAGCTATGTGGTAGTGGTATTCACTATTGGGCAGAGCAGAATAATATCCTAAATGACAGCTATTTATATAAATGACCCCTTGTTTCTTCACTACCACTGTTCCCGGTTCATCTAAAAATAGTTGTCTCTGTGGTTATTGCTTTTGCTTGGTTTTATGAATCTGTGATATAATTTGGTGGGCTGTTTATTGTTACTTAATTTTAATTGTACCACAGACTTTATATTGTTGTGATTAAAACACATTGTTTTAATCCCATTAAAACTCATTGTGCTGTAACTCAAGTCCCACACAATAAAAAAAATCAGAAGGGATTTTAGAGACTGATGGACTACTTCTGTGAAGTAAAATGTGAAATACATGGATACTCCTAAAAACAGAAACTAGGGCACACCTGGAGCACTTACAAGTAATTTCCCCAGGTGCCTATAAAACTCTCTGCTGATGCCTGTGATTCATTTTTATATTTAAATCACTTTTAGCTGGGTGGTGAAAGTAATGACCTATGGCCACCTAATGTCTTGATTTCACAAATATACTTTTAGTAGGTAAATCTCAATCCAAAAAAACAAATTAAAATGGATTAAATCAATAAAATAAAATTGTATCGTGCATTGTAATGTTTTTTTCCTGCACCCTGCATTTCCACTGTTGAGGAGCCAGGATGCTTGAGAATGATTGCAGGAGAAGGGTGATTTCACATAATGAAATGAAGAAGTGCGAGTCTGGAATTGGGAATGGGAAGAGCTGAAGGAAGAGCTGAAATATTGAGAAAATAAATGAATAGAATGGAATAACAGAGCTGGAAGGAGCCTTGGAGGTCTTTCTAGTCCAACTCCTTGCTCAAGCAGGGGACCCTGTACCATTTTAGACAAATGGTTGTCCAGTCCCTTCTTAAAAGCCTCCAGTGTTGGAGTACCCACAACTTCTGAAGGCAAGTTGTTCCACTGGTTGATACTTCTTACTGCCAGAAAATTTCTCCTTAGTTTTCGGTTGCTTCTTTCTTGGTTCAGTTTCCATCCATTGCTTCTTGACTTGCCCTTCTGGTGCTTTGGAAAATAGGTTGACACCCTACTTCTTTGTGGCAGCTCCTCAAATATTGGAACATTGCTATCACGTCACCCTTAGTTCTTCTTTTCCCTAGACCAGACATATTACCCAGTTCCTGCAACAGTTCTTCATATGTGTTAGCTTCAGCCCTTAAAAAAAAAAAGTTTGTGTTTGTGTATGTGTGAGAGAGAGAGGGAGAGAGAAACAGGAAGGAGGAAGGGAGGAATGAACAAGAAAGAAGTGACATTATCTTGTCCCAGACAATATTTATCTTCCCAAAATACCTGGGATAAGGAGCTAAACACTACAAAGGCTTCCATACAAAGTTTCTTTATTGGATTATATCAGGCATCCTCAAGGTATAACTCACAGTTACGTTGAGATTCATCTAATGTCCAATCTTTGCATTGTCGTCTTCATAGTGTGAAAAGATAGTTATCTTCATCCCATAATGATACAGCAAGGGAAGACTCCAGCACATTGCTGGGGTTCAAGTAAGAATGAACAAAACTCCCCCCAATCCAACCAGAGGTCAATTCAGTGACCAATCAGGAGTACAGGTGTGACCACATGACATGAACTACATCTCCCATGAGGCATTAACTACATTTCCCATGAGGTATTCCCTTAAGGGGACAGCTCTCATTCCCAAACTAACCAGCACAGACATGATAAGTTAGGATAATGCAGCAGAAATTAAAGATAAAAGAGAATTTGGGCCAATTCATCCTCCATATCCATCAGTCTCCCAAGCGTCCCCTATGTCAGCTATGTTTTAGAGATATTCCATGTTCCTCAGGAGCATCTCCATAGAATTATATGGCTTCCAGAAAAACAGGGTTTATTTAACAGAACATTTTAAAGATAAGATTTTCCTCATTTACAACTTTCCTAGCTGCCACACAAATTAGGCTACTCCATACCTTCCAAGCAATGAATGTAAGAACACACAGTTAATCTTCGTTGGCATTGTTTTATTTGTATTGGAATTGTGGCTTAACAATCCAATTAACAGAAGTCACATACCTATCAAACTGCAGCCAGGGTTGATCTTAACCACTGAATAGTCAATTCAACTTACAAACATAAGCAAGTACAAGAACAAAAGTAAAGTACTTGTACATAGGTTTTGTTAGACAACCATACTGAGAATAACATTCTCAAGTGCTCTGGTTAGGAGTGTGCACTCAAAGCTGGGGAAATGTGGGGAGGTTTTTTAAAAAGAAAGTAACAACGAATGCTATAGCCATATGATCAAACCCCGTCTCTTTTTTATGTGTGTCACTTATGCTACAGTAGTAGCACATTAGTATGGCCCCTTCTTGACTTTTATACAAAAATAAATTGGATGTTTACAAAATATATTGGAACAATGTCATCCCTTTATTGGTCTTATCCTCCAGGAGAGTAATAAAGATTGTCAAGTATTTCATTAGAAGACATATCTTCATAATGTAAAATGCTGCAATAGTTTCTTACGTGCTAACAAGAGAAACTGAGAAAACCACTCACATTAATCTCTCGTTAATGGGAGGTGAAGCTAGAGTAATTTCTATTATAACTGTTACAAAAATTTCCAGCTTGGTTAGCAGAAAGGTATTTCCACTGATTAACACATGCATATTCTAGCACAGCTAACTTGAACAGATACTTGCTTTTCTCTGGAAAACTGCCAGAGAAAAATGTACATTTTACAAGCCATAATACCAGAATTCAGTCATTCATTAATTAATCAGTACACTTTAAAAAAAGTAAGGAAAGCTTTGTACAAAGAGAAAAATCTAAACAAATGTAAATCACTGAGCTCATAGAATACATCAATACATTTTACTTTGAGAGTGCCTAAAAATGTAAGTAGTTAAGTGGCTAAATCAGTTGATTTATCACAAGCACCATCAGCATCGAAATAATCCCAAAATTTATAATCTTTCTTATTTTGCATCATTACTTTATCTCTTAAGGAGTTCTCAGCTGTGGAATCATAAGCAATTCAGAGGAAGGCAGGCACAAATTGTTTAAAAACAGGGTCATCTTTGTGAAATGCAGAATGGAAAAACCACTTTCTGCCTTTCTTCCTTGTTTTGTTTGCACAAGCCCAGTTGTGGTTTTGCAAAATCTCAGAACTGCATGAAATATAGGTGAACATTTAACAGAATTGGATATTTGTTTTGCCCAACTCTAACCCTAACTAAATACTTTTATTTAACATTTATTTAATTATTTAATTTTATTCATGGAGGAATCACAAAAAACAAAATTTGGGAATCTTGTTTCTAAATGTTTAAGAGACTTGTACCAATTAAAGAACTATCTTTCCCTAATAATGAAGTTGTTTGTGTGAATGCCTCTTTCTGTTGCATCAAAGCTTTACCTATAGTATTGTTGCATAAGTTAGTGGTTTTATCTGATCCATCACATCACCTGGAATGAAAACAACTAATCCTAAATGTGAAAACATTCCATTTATTTCAACCCAGTCATACTCCTGCCTATGCTGCATGCATACATAAAGGAAGTCCTCAACTTACCATCATTCATTTAGCAACCATTCAAAGTTGCAATGGTGCTGAAAAAAATGACATGACCATTTTTCACACTTATGACCATTGTCGCATCCCCACGGTCATGTGAACAAAACTTGTGTAGTTGGCAACTGGCATGTATTTATGATGATTGTAGTGTCCTGGGCTCACATGATCACCTTTTTCAACTTTCTGACATTCAATGTCAATGGGAAAGCCAGATTCACTTAACAAAGGTGTTATTAACAACTGCAGGGATTTGCTTAATAACTGCTGTTAAGAAAGGTTGTTAAATGGGGCAAAATTCACTTAACTGTCCTGCTTAGCAACATAAATTTTGGGCTTCATTGCTGTCGTAAGTCAAGAACTATCTGTATTGGCCAAGCATAATTTCTCCAGGCCAGATAGGATTTTGGTTCTTAAACAAATCATTTTGTAGTTCTTTAAACAAAGCACCTGTAGTATTCCAGTTGGCAGTTTATAATTATGGCCAGTGTCTGTATAATATTAGGGATTTAATGGTGTATTTATCTTCTTATGAAATATACCATGTCTATACACTGAATATACAACGCCTTGTTTTTATGGGACTTACCTCACCTTCCTGACCCAGGTTGATGTGATAGTATTTGGAAATGATCTTGGAAGATGGAATGGTGAAAATGAAAAGATGCTGCCTAGGGAATGTCAGATAAGAGAGAACATAGGTGCATAATGGGCAGAGAAAGTGGCTCAGAAGGGAAACACCCCCCCCTTCAAGTTCTCAGGCTACAAAGGGGACAGCAAGAGAAATATATTTTCAGATTTGCAAGTTTCTATGAATGTAGCCTTATAACAGTAGAATTAGCTCACCTGGTCATGTTTCCTATCTTACTTGGGAAAGTATTCTGTTCTTTCTAACTGTAGAGAATAAATGCAAATAAGAAATCTTTATAATTATGAAAAAAATATGTTGAATAGAATGGCACTTATGTCTTTTAGATTGCAAGTCAGCAAATTTCTTGTGTTTTTCTTCCAATTGTGTCTTCATATTAATGGCCCTACTGCTAAATCAGACCACTTTGAATTTGGGACAAGGATAGAATTCTCCCACCTTTGGTCCTTTGTATGTGTTAAGGATGATAAAGGTCTCCTACAATTTTAGATAATATGGACCTTTCTTCAAAAAGAGCCAATCAACTTGCAAATGTTTGTTCTTCATTCTAAAGGCTGATGGCTTTTTTATGATAATGCCAAGAAGCAACATCTGAAAAACAGGATTGCAATGGTTGCACAAATTAAAATGGTGAAATATTTTGCAAGGGGCCCACTAAAACAAAGAAGCTATCAGAAATTCTAATGACATGTACTCATTCTAAATGATGTAATTGCCTAAATGTTACAAGAGACCCTTTCAGATTGGAAAATAACCTATGGCTCTTTAATTACCAGAAAAGAGAGAGTGAAATATTATTAGTTGATTACAACCCATTTAATAATACTTGGGGAGGAAGAAGATAATAGAATCAAACATAAATGATGGCAAACATAAGCATTCCTTTTAAAAGTGTTGAAATAAAAAATAAATTGTTATAAGTTCACCAATGATAAAACAAAGATTACAAATAATAATCATTGCAAATCACAATTACAGCAAAATAATCAGATGTTCTTGCATATGGAAAGGCATCATAAACCTAGGAATAGATGGTTGTTTGAGCTAATCTACACATTGCATGGAAGAGGATACCTATCTACAGTACAGATAGTTCTCACTTATCAACTACAATTGGGACAAGTAACTCCATCGCTAAGTGCTGCAGACACTAAGAGAGACATCATGTAACAATGCCAGGCTTACAACATTTCCTCTTCCATTGTTACACACCATGATTATTGAGTGAGACATCCTATGACTGCAACTTGCAATTTCACTTCAGCATTTTCCATTAATTTCGGTTATTGGAAGCTGGTTATGAACCATGCAAATAGTGATCATATGACCACAGGACACTGTGATGGTCTTAAATGTGTATTGGTTGTGAAGCACCCACATGGTAATCATGAGACGTTGTGACAACCTTGGTGGCTTGGAGGTGGATGTTGTCAGGAGCAAATAACCAGAGGCATTTACTGAATTCAAAGCACAGAAGAGTTTATTGTTGACTAGAAAAATGTAGTCAACTAATGGTCAGTGCTAAATTGGTATTAGATAAAAGTCAATGAAATTCACGGGGGCGGGGGTGGTGGATTTGAGTCACTTGTGGTAATGCAATGACCAATTAATGACATGTTTTACTCCATCTTCCAACTCTGCCTGCTCTTCTTCAATATCTTCATAAATGACTTAGATGAGGGAATAGAAGGGGAACTTACCAAATTTGCAGGTGGGCAGGAATAGCTAACACCCTTGAAGATTGGCTCAAGATCCAGATGGATCTTGACAGACTTGAGTGCTGGGCCCTATCTAACAAAATGAAATTCAATGTAGAGAAAAGTAAAGTCCTACACTTGGGCAAGAAAAACCAAAAGCACACATATAGACTGGTGAAACCAGGTTTAATAGCAGTAACTGTGAGAGGGATCTTGGACAGCCAACTAAATATAAGTCAGCAGTATGCAGCGGCAGCCAAAAAAGGCAATGCAATCCTAAATTGCATTAACAGAGGGATACAATCAAGATCAAGTGATATACTAATACTATTTATAATACTATAAAGCCTTAGTAAGACCACACCTAGAGTACTGCATCCAGCTTTGGTCACTACACTATTAAAAAGATGTTGAGACTCTAGAAAGTGTGCAGAGAAGAGCAAACAGGATGATTAGGGGACTGGAGACTAAAACATATGAAGAACGGTTACAGGAACTGGGCTTGGCTAGTCTAGTAAAGAGAAGGACCAAGGGACACATGATAGCAGTGTTCCAATATTTGAGGGGCTGCCACAGAGAGGGAAGTGGTCAAGCTATTTTCCAAGGCACCCAAAGGCCAGACAAGGAACAATGGATGGAAACTGAACAAGGAGAGATTTAACCTGGAAATAAGGAAAAAATTTCTGACAGTGAGAACAATCAACCAATGGAACAGCTTGCCCTCAGCAGTTGTGGAAGCTTCATCACTTGAGACTTTCAAGAAGAGATTGGACTGCCATTTGTCAGAAATGGTGTAGGATCTCCTGCTTGGGTGTGGGGGGCTTGGACTAGATGACCTACAAGGTCCCTTCCAACTCTGTTAATCGAATTCTACAACTGTTCTTCAATTCTGTATCCCAGAATTCACCAGCCACCAATTCTATCCACCTTTAAGCCACCAAGACTTTTGTTGATTAAGATTGAATGCTGCATCTTTCTAATTTGTTTGTACTTAGCAAATAAGATATAGGTGGGGGGGAGATATTTAGTTGAAATGTTAAATAAAGTGAGTTATTGAAATTGTTTGTACCCATCCTGATAAAAGCAGAAACCATTTCTTTAAATATCTTTACTTTTTTTACATTTTTTTTCTTCTCCCTTTCTTCCTTTTACATTTTTTTAACTGTTCATCTTTGTCTTGGTTTGTATTCGTTTTGTAAAATTTTCTTTAAATCTTTAAAAATATCTTTTTTAAAGGTTTGCATTTTTAAACTTTAATTTAAAAAGTTTAAAAAGTATTGCTCTCATGGATGATTTAAAGGGTTTGTCAAACACATCCCCGAGTGCTGATCAGTGTTTCCCAAACTTGACAACTTTTGAAATGGGCAGACTTCAACTCCCAGAATTCCCCCAGCCTTGTACGGTTGTCTGGGGCATTCTGGGAGTTGAAGTCCACCCCTCTCAAGGTTGCCAAATTTGAGAAACACTGGACTGGATGATGCTGGGGAATCGCTCCCTACTCCCTAAATTCTAACCCCACTCTCGCTAGTAACTTCCCAACTTCCCTACAGGGAACCCCAGCCCATCCTAATCTCCTTTTAACATTCCCCCCCCCCCCCCCCCATTTCATCCGCTACTCGTCTCGTGCGTTCCTTCAGAGCAGGCCGGGGACCACCGAGGCGTCGCTCGCGCTTGCGCAGTTCTAGGCCCGCTCGGCCGCCTGTGTGTGACCCACCTCACGTAGGCGCTGCCGCCGCTCCGCTCGCGGCCGCCGCGTTCCAAGGAACGCCCCCGGAGGCTGGTGGGCGGGGCCAAGTCGAGAGAAGCATTCCGAAAGGGGCCTGCTTGGGAGCGGGCGGCGACAGCTCGAGCGGTGGCTCTTCTCCGAGGTAAGGTGGCTTCGCTGGCGGACTCGATTCCGCTTTGGCCTGGATGAGCAAGGCTTCCGTTCGCTTCTTCCCAGTAGAGCGAAAGCTCCTCGTCTTGTTTCCCTTTCGCTTCCCTGCGGGGAAACCCAAGTTCGATGCGGGACCAGCGCACGTCTGAATGTGAAACTTCCCTTGAGGATGGTGCCTCGCGTGTCAAGCCTCTCTTTATCCCCCCCCCCCCCTTTTATCTCTTGTCACGGAAAGTCCCCGTGCATGCTTAGCCTTCCTTTGCTCCGATGTCCTCGGGCTCTTTCGTTTCTCTCTCGTTTTTGTTGTCTTCTTTTGCAAAGGCGCGTTGAGCACCCGGAGTTGATCGATGGACCGATTTTGGGGACCATCGTTTCCTCCGGATCCCGCAGATAGATCTTTTTTTTTTCTCCCCTCCGTGAACCCGGGAGTTGAGCCAACGCTGCAACCGAAGAGCGTGCGAGCCCTGCAGGGATCATTTCCTAGGGATAACTAACTCCCCGACTTGTCCACTCTTGTCGAGAGCAAGCCAGAAGATTGCTTTTCTCCCTTTATCCTCCGAAAGGACGGGGACATCTGTGGCTGACGTGGACGGGGATCCTTTACATGTGTTCCAACTTTGGTTCACAGCCTTCTTTCCTCAAGGCAAGCACTTCAGAGAGTTCTTCGCAGTCCCGAAATTATTATTTTTTTAACAGATTAAGTGCCCCTCGGGAAGAAATCTGATCCTTCCTAGACAGAATCTCCAAATCTCCTCTAAGATTTATTCGGGAAAAGAGATGGATTATCCCATGCTTCATCTAATTGGCGTTGCCCTCGTTTCAGGATGGATGCAAAACCACTTTGAAAAAATCCTCTAGCTTAACTAGATTTTAAAGCTTTGCTTTTGAGGTTAGCCAAGTGAGGGTAGTAATTTGATTTCTTAAAAAAAGAAGATGATGAAATGCACCTTCTAGAAAAAGCATTGGACTGATATTTGGAGAAGTTCCTATGCTGAAATCTTCAGTACTGAAAGTACTGAAAATACAGTAGATCTTCTTGCCAATAAGAAGGAACAAAAGAGGGGGGTATGGATGGAAGAGGTCATAAAAAAATAGTTTACGTAGTAATTTAACCTTTTCGTGTTCGGTTGTACTTTTTCAGACTTGGCTAAGAAAGAATTTTGAAGCCAAGTGTCCATTACAGGACATGACTTGGGAGACGTGGCAGTAGCAGTTTTCCATTAACCTTTTGCTGTCACATTAGAAATTTCTGGCAAGAAAGTTTTTGCCTTCTTACTATTTGCTTACTAAATATGAATAATATGCACTTTCAGGCCAATGAAAAATGTACACTTTCAAAAATGCGTAATTATGTTGCTTTTTTTTTCTTAGCCCCTTTGGATAAATTTGGATAGAAAGATGTATAAATCCAAGTTTAAAAATTGGATAAAATCATTTCTTGATTCTCTGTAGTGTTTGATTTCCCTTCAAATGTTTCACAATAATTTTCTGAGGAAGTTGTATTGCCTAATACTAAGTAACATTTTTGAGGTATTAAATTCCGCATGCTTTGTCAGGAGGATAGAAAAATGATAGCTTTTGTTTCATAAAAATTTGTATGGATGCATTATCATTGGTTGACTTCTTCACAAATTCTATTAAATTGATTTGAACCTGGAATGGGCACATAACAGATTTATTTTTCTTGCATAAAAGTATCTGAAGATACTATGTAACTAAGTCATGCAGCACTCAATGTAATATTAGTAGTGATTATATTATCCAGGATGTGATTATATTATATTTTAATTATATTTTAATTCTACGGTATATTGGATTCTCATAGATGTATACAATCTCATCTAGAATGGCTTCCATATCAATGTATTGTAAAATTTCTTATAGTAGTAGTACAAGATTCCATTGTAATTCAAAATAATTAAAATACAGATGCAGTATCAACAAAAACAACAAAAAATATTTTGATAATATGTTTCTAATGATTACACTTTTATTGTACATACTCACATAGATTTTATCATATGGTGATTATATTATCCGGGATGTGATTATATTATCCGGGATGTGCATAGGATATGGTCAAAAGATGGCTTTCCTATGTGCTGGGACTTTCAACTCCCAAAATTCATTGCCACGTGGATTAGTTATGTTTGGTGGGAATTTTGAGAACTGTAGGCTTAATGTAAAAGAGACAGTTTGGTGTAGTGGTTAAGGCATAAAGCTAGAAACCTGGAGACTATGAGTTCTAGTACTGTTTTGGACACAAAACCCACTGGGTGACCTTAAGCCAATCACTTTTTCTCAGGAAGGAGACAGTAGTAAACCACTTCTGAAAAACCTTGCCAAGAAAACTATAGAGTCTTGTCCAGTCAGTGTCCAAGAATTAGACATGATTGAATGGAAAGGAGTGGGGCCTTAACACATCTAAAAGGCAACAATTCTGAGAATGCTACGATTTACATTTATTTAGGTACTTCATATAAATAAATCTGTCTGTCTGTCTATATCTATCTATCTATCTATCTATCTATCTATCTATCTATCTATC